ACCCCCCCCCCCACCCAACCACCCCCCCACCCCACCCCTTTATCCGGGGCAAAAAAACCAAAAAAAAAAAAAAAAAAAAAAAAAAAAAAAAACACGAGGATGCGGAAATTGTTGAAAATCAAATGCTTTAATATTACAAACCTAGAGAAATTCAGAAACATGTTCTACTGTGACAAGTGTTTTATTTATATATTTTTTTTTGTTGATTTGGTTTATTTTCAGATTCCCACATGTTTAACTAGTTGCCTTATTGCTTTTAAATACATTTAAAATACCTACCCAGTCCTAGTCTTCTATAAACCTACATCAAATAAACTATTTGATGTAACAGGGCTCTCTGAGTAGACGGAGGGCTTGAAATGTTAAACTCTTGTGCTGCACAGAAATAAGGGATGACATTATAGGAGATCATGTATGAGACTGAGTAACCAACTAAGGCTCTAGTAAGCCATTTAAAATGAGAAGACCACAGGAAGACTCCTGTTTAGGAGGGCTGTTTCAAGATTAAGCCTAAAAGAGTTGTGCCACATTTACGTCTTAAGATCTATGTTGTCCATCTAAAACACAGAACTGGTGTTATTTGGGGGGGAGGCGGGGAGGCATATTATTCATATTCACAAAAAGTGCAGATGTTTTTTTCTTTTTTCTTTTCTGGTTAAGGAATGTGGCAATTGAAAATTTGAATATGATTGCTCCTTAAAAATGTATAACATAATAGCAGAATACCGAGGATTTTAATCCACAACTGGGAAATGCCACCTCTGCAGGAGTACAGTATATAAGCTATCCAAATGCCAAATGAACAAGAGGTCTGAGAGAAAGAAAAACAACAACAGAAAACAACCAACTAGAAAAGGGAATAGTTGTACACATTTGCGAGGCTAAATGCTATGTAAATATGTAAACACACAAAGTGCACCAATGTATAAATGCTAGCATGCATCATACAAAGGCTGCATATAAATGTATGAAGGTATGGCTCCGTTCAAGGAGAGATGAAATAAAGAGGAAAAAAGTAAGTGGATGCATATTGAAGGGAATATAACAAGTTTAGCTGTAAATTGCACGTAGGGGATTTTGAACTATTGCTCTATATCGTGGTCCTCTGGGAGAGGTGCTGATTGTAAAGTCTGACAGCTGCAGAGAGGAAGGACTACATATCTACTGCTCCTTTGCACAGTTAGGGTGCAATAGTTTGTCACAGAGAGCTTTTCAGAGGCGTTACCATATTATGGATGGAACGGGAGACCTGCTGATACCAGTTTTAGCCTTTTTGTATTTCTCTTCCAGAAATATGACATAAGAAGTTACATATCATTGAAGCACAAGTTGAACATTCCTGAAAATTATTCTTTCTGGCCTTCTGCTCACATTAGCAACTGTTAATGATTGATAGTAGCAGAGGCAACTTGAAGGCACTTTGAGATCAGGTGATATGAAAAATAATGAAAATTATAACGGAAATTACACTTTTAACTGTATTCGGCAAGTTACATTAGCAATCAGTGTGGCTATAGGGATTGGTGCAGCTAATAAAGTAATTATTATTTATCATTGCTTGAATAAAGGCAGACATATCTCCACATCTAGATATGTTATACTCCAACCACCCCAACAGCTTTTTATATCTGTGCCCTTTCTCTGGAAACTAGTATTTAAATTAGCTGTAACATACTTTTACTTGAAAGAGCACACACTCAGAAATGTTGTTAGTGATATCTGGAAGTGCTTATGCACAGTGTGTTCAATTAACCTGCTTATCACCAATTTTGGTCAGCTGAACTGAGAAAGCGGCCAATCAGAGGTTATCAGACAATTTGTGGTGCATCATGGGGCAAGAAAACTTTAGAGATAAGAAATAAAAACTAAAATTTACTTAAAAAAACAACAACATATGAACAATAATTTACAGATTTAAGTAGTTAAAAAAAGAAAAGTTGCAAATTTAACATGAAAGAGCAGACGTGTTGCAGAAACAACAAAAAGCAGCAGTTTCTTACTTTTTGCATGCTTACTTCAGTAACCAAAAAACATAAACAACATATAAATTGTTAATTTGGAAAGCTCTTATCTGCTTGATCACAAAAGGTAGGGGCCTATGTATATAACAACAGACTGTTTACAACACAGGGGTATCAGTAAAAAGAAAAAAAGGTGGGCTGGTGGATAAACTGTTACAACTTGGGAAGCTGAATTAGTTTTGCTGCAAAACCTTTTGAAAGCTAAATCAGGTATCCACACATCTGATTATGGAGATCTTCTGGATAAATACTACTCACAGACGAAATGGCTGTCTTCTTTGAAAACAATTTGCACAAAGTATCAGATTACTCTAGACAAAAGCAAATAATCTTCTTGACTCGGCTTCGAAAATGACACTAAAAGAAATGTTAATTATCCAGTTTCGGAATAATATCGAGGTCTTAGCACATCAGCGCGATGCACTCACTGAAAAGCTTCAAGAGAACGATCCTTGTTTAAAAGTGAAATCAACTAATCCACTCCACCTGCAATAATAAGGCACCCCGGTCAACCTCCAGTATCTTCCCTTCAGCTTAAATCAAGCAATTTCACAGGTTTAGATGCAGGCTTCTAGTCACGCCACCTGCGTATTCTCCTGCAGAGTCACAAACGTGAACAGGGAGTCAGACGCCTCCTCTTGAGGAAAAATCCCAGTCCTTGAAACAAGCTGTGTCTGTGGAGATTCACTTCGGGACCGACTGACTCTGCTGACAGAATTCAGATGAGTATAGATGCATCTCCCTCAAAGCCTCCCTATCTAAAAGTTACCAAGTACACCAATCTTTTTGACACAATCATTCATTAATAAATACTGCTGAATGTAAGATAGGGGATGTACACAGCGGATAGAAAAAGAAATCACAGTTTTAACTTTTTTTTTTTTTTTTTTTGACATATTTTATCAGCTCCAGAAACGTTTGCGTAAGAAACCAACACATTTGTTAATTGGAAGAAAACCGTAAAAAATATATATAAATCTAAAATGTGTTCTATGTATTTGTAGAAATGGAAAAGTATGGTACGACTGCAGACTTACCAAACGTGGCCACTTGAACTGATACACTGGGCCAGGAGAGAACTACTCAGTGAAGCAGCCAAGAGGATCATGGTAGTTTCTCATAAGGTGCTCCAGAAGCCCACAGCTTCAGTACGAGAATCCACAGACAGGACAATTAGAAGTCTTGAAGTTCAGAAATATGATCTTTATAAAACGCAAAGGGGGGGGGGAATTGTCTCTCAAAAGGGCAAATTTAGCCAACACTGCTTAAATGCTGAAGACATCATTGCCACAGGGATAATATTGTAGAAGAATAACACGTATGGTAAACATACGGTCAGAGCTACAACGAAACAATCAAACCATGTGTGTCAATTAAAGACATGTAAAAATGGCCTAGTCAAAGTCCAGAACAAAGCAAAAGAAAAAACAGGAAGGCTTTATTATATAATAATTGGGGAGGTGGGGGGGCTAGTAGGGCCTATAGCTCACTTCAGATTCTACCTGTAGAAATGTTTAAAAAGATAATTTTGCTACCAACTCACAATCATGCAGTGCATCATATAAAAATCTAACATCTGCAGGTAACATCAACATCTGTAAAAATCCAATGGATGCGAGTTCTTTTGCAGGATGCTGGACTATTTACATATCTTTTATGAGAAATATTCACTCTCTCCACAGAATTCCACAAAGACTTAATTTAAAGTCAAGAGTTTAACAGCACAAGAGTTTAACACTTGGAGCTGAAAGCTGCTTTTTGCCTCTAAAGGTGCTTCTCTCGCGCTACTTGATTAAAACACACAGAAATGAAGGTGAGGTAGTGCCGAGGGTATCCCCTAGTTGATCTTCACCTGCAGATGAGTCTCATAGCTCTGATATTTCCCCCACAGTTAATCAGAAGGTGCTGACTGCTTATGCAGATTGTCTGCAAGTGCGGACGTTTGATTTGCTTAATTAACAAAGTAAGTGTAAAATTACCGATGCTTCTGTGTACTTGGACAGCTTGATCACACAGTGTCAGCGAAAACACAATCATGGTACTGCAAATTATGTGGCAGAGTATCTCTGACAAAGTCCCGGTTCAAAGAAAAACACCTTCCGTCCTTGTTGGTTCCAAGTTTATTTTTAACTTTTAAAAATGCAGTTTGACAGTTTCCACCTTGCATGAAACCAAGACTTCTTGAAAACGGATATCTAAAAGAAAAGCTTCTGCCAAAGCGAGACCCGGCGTCAATTTCAACGATTCTGGAGACGCTCAGCTGTGCAGCAGGGATCACGGTCCTGATTATGCGTCGACGTGTCCAGCTGGCTCTGCAGTCCTCTGCGGCGGCCTTCCCATCAACATGTTGTTCTTTGGCGAACAGCTTTCAGGCTCCATGGTCATCACCTGAACCGAGTACCCGTGAGTCTCTGCAGCCCAAGCCCGGTCCAAGTCCACCAAGCCCATGCAGTGTTTTCCTGCGTTGACACAAATAAAAATGATAAAATGCTACTGTTTATCACCAAATCAAGAGTTGAGACGACAAACACTTTTTGCTTGAAATCCAGTAGAAATTCAGGCTTTGCAAGATGACCAAACAAGTCCTAAACTGGGTGACGGTTAAAGACAAATATGGTTATTTATTGGTTTTATTAAATAAAACCAATATGGCACTTATCAGTGATAAGTGCCATAACTTATCACTGATTTTATAAGCTTTATGACAAAATGTAATTACAAACAAATTACCATATGGTAATTATGTTAAAAATTATGGTAATTATTATTACCACAATTACCAATAATTATGGTAATACTTATTTCCATAATTACTGTTGTGGTAATAATTAGAGAACTATTACCATAATAATTCTCAAATTATTATGGAAGGTGAATTTCAATTTAGAAAGACAGAATATTAGCAATGCAGAAAAACACAAAACCAATTAGCATGTTAATTAAGTAAGTAAGCATTTGACAAATTATGACATATGTCAGCCGGAAATGTGCGACTTAAATGATCATTTGTGAAGGACTGGAGGCTCCTTTTTTAAACTTTGTGACAGAACCGTTCTTCTGTGTTAAGGCTGAGTGAAGAAGCACTTGATCATTATTTTTATAGTAAATGAAATCCTCTATTGACCCCCAATGTTATTCTGCATATCTGACATAAATATGGCCAACGCTGCGATGCTTCTGCCTCTGAACTTTAATGCAGAAATGAGGTTCTTCTAGTCACACTCAGCATTTCTCTTCCTTCAAACACAGCAGGTCTGACTTAATACCAGCGAGCTAAACATTTCTCTGATGTGATTAGATTGCTAATCACATCAAATATGTTGGGACCAGGAGTAGCTCTTGACATTAATTCATTAATTGACAATTTGCAATATGTGTGCCGTATCAACATACACAGCATGAGCTGGGCTGTGGAGGATCAGATGCCAATTTAACTCAACTCCCAACCTATGCAAAGTGAGTATTTACTTACACATATCTAGTTCAGGTTTTTATTTTATGTATTTAATCTCTTCACAGACGAAAAAAACAAAAAAACTCCCACCTAAATTAGACACTGTCCATCGTCATGCTGCTTTGATGGTAAAAGCCTGACTAGCAGACTTAGGGAAGATAAGAAGAAAATGTTCTGTAATCTGATAGAAGAGAGCAGTGACAGGTGGTGTCAGACAGATTAAAAAAAAGGTTTCAGATTCAAGAACCCTGGGGAGCTTTTCTGATTTAATGAAGCTTTGATAAAGTGGAAAGCTATCAACTTGAAAAAGGGTACTTAGCATAATGAAAACAGTTCTCAGTAAAGATCCAGCACAGGAGTGGAGGTTTCACACTTCCATCTGAATGGGACTCTGATCCGGCAGCTGATTGTTTCAGTCCCTGTTTTTTTTTTTTTTTTTTTCTATGTCAGAGGTTTTTAACACATTTCACAAGATTAAAGCGTCATAGTGAGGTGATTGCAATACGTGAATGTGTAGAGTGGACTTACACTATTCTATTCACAATAGTTATCAGTTGTGCATTGATAACTGAATCAATGTACACCCACAGGAAATTTAACAAATAGATTCAATAGATTTCTCACAAAATGAAAAATGTCAATAAATAAAAGTACAATCTCAAGGTCCAGCTAAAGTAAATACAAGGACTTTTCTCTAATTAATATAATTTTCTAATTAATTTAATTTTCTCGAATTTTGAGTTGAAATCAACTGAACTGTATTTTAAAGTAAAATGAACTGCATTAAACTGAGACCAGTTCAACTGAGATTTAGAACCTCAGACAAGTGGAAGTGGCTACTAGCAGATGCACAGTGACCGTGCATCTTTGACCCCAAAAACAGATTTTCTGGGACTTAAAATTGATATGATCTTTTGTAAGACCCCGTAGAAACCTTCCATATAGAGATCCTAAGAATGAATCTCAGCTAAGAAAACAGAGAGAGAAAAATATCGCTTGGAACAAACAAAACAAAATACTTGATGCTTGGGAAAAAAAAGAAAAACAAGTCAAGAAAATTAAAGAAACAAGTGCAAAAATTATTCACAGTTCACCATAATAAATAATGATATTAACTAAAAAGGACAGTAGGGATCATTATACTTTAATGCCACAAATGTTTTGCATTATGGAGACGGGATGGGATAAAAGAGCAGATTATGAACAGTACCAATGAGGCGCCTCTCAGGTGGCAACTGGACCGCAGTCTGATCTGCAAAGCGGCAAAGGATCATGTGTTCCTGAGGAAGACAGGTGAAAAATAACTGTTTAATCTGGAAATACTGTTTATCTTGTTTGACCAACTTTTGAAACGATATACCTCGAGGCTGCAACAGTAGGCGCAACAAAGCCACGCATTTCAGGCATTTAAAGCATTTAAAGCATTCAGTGAAACCAAGATGGATGAATGGATTAGTTTTGCTTGTCTAGTACTCCTACTTTAGCCTACACCTGCTTGAATCTGTGCACAGCCATGATGCAGATCTCGGCATGTTCCGCCTGTGAGGCGGGAAACATTCTTAGCACATCGCATGGTTAGGCACAATAAGCAAGGAGTCTGTCTGTTTTAGCTGTTTTAACACACACGTTTGCATTTACTGTCAAGATCTGTCAAGATTTTTTACACTATGCCCATAAAACTACAAGAATTTCCTGTTTTAAATGGAAGCAAAGCATGATTGCAGAGAGAAAGTAGTAATTCTTTTGTCAAGAATGCATCAAGAACATATCCTAACTAACAATCATCTTATTAGACCTGCGTAGCAACTGTGGAGTCAAAACAAAGTCCACCAGACGAGACTGGAGACATGGCGCGGTTTTGTAAATCTGTATAAACAGTGGCAAAAAGTGACACTGCAATCTCACCCGGCGTACTTAGCTCAGTGATGAGGGAACGATCCCAAAAATGAGATGTCTTACCTCGACGCGTCGCAAATCTTTTCGGCTCAAAAAAGCTCAACATTCCTCGACGTGGTTATTTTTACACACACAAAATCAAAGCCAGCACACCCAAACCTGCGGCTCCAACATTAGCAAGCAGACTAGCTAACAAGCCTCCATTAGTGGTTGTTGCCATGTACAAACCCCAGCAGCAGTCGCTCTGTCTGCCTTTTCCATATTACATGTCATTAGATATTGTGACATGGATCCGGCTTGCAGCTGTTTGTTTGCTCGTAATCATTTCCAGGTGACATGTTTCTAATTTATACGTTTGTTAAAAATAGTTGCCACACAGGAAATAATACGACTGCCAACCCCCTAGGAGTGAAATATGTGCATCCCTGTCAGCTTTCCTAACACACCCCATGAACCCAGGTAATTTATTTCCAAACAAAGGACACGCTTTCCCCTTCTAAGCTTCTCCCCGTGTATGGTTCATGTAACAAGCGATTCAGCAGAGCAGTAAGTCATCTCTAAGCTGCCTCTGCTTTAATTGATCCCATTTTTCACAGTGCAGAGTAAATGCTGAATGCAAGGCCGTAAAGCAGAGCTGGCCCTTTACGTCTGAGCCGAGCACCAACACCTCACACCATTAACCCTTTACTTCACAAGCATCTGTCAGCATCTTGTCGTTTGCTTTAACTACTGTCGGTTCACAAGGACAACGGTGGTTCTCCTATAAAACAAGACAAGTGGGTGTCTGGGAGCAGAAGCACAGGGAACATCAGCAAAAGAAATAAAGTGTTGAAATGTGTTTGCGCCGTTACGGGGCTCCCGCATCAAAAGTTGTGAGTTTGTTTTTTGTTGTCATTTTGTTTAATCTTGTTTTTCTCTCGATGACAAAAACAAAAGTAATAATCTACAATCTCAGAAAATCAGTATCATACAATAGTACGCACACGCTTTAAGATTTTTCACGTTTCTTAACGTTATAGCCACTTTTACTTTTTTATGAAGACTTTATGTGACAGAACAACACAAATAATTATAATAATTGTAAAGTTGAGAAAAAAAAATTATGATAGACAGCTTTAATTTTCTTTTATGAAAAAAAATCTGAAATGTGTACCATGCGTTTATATTTTTGCACCTTTTCCATTGAAATGCCTACATAAAATCTCTTGTGTTTGAAGTTGAATCTCTACTCCAATCTCTACATGTCTGTCACAAACTTTAAGCAGGACAACTGATGGTTTTCTTTAAAACTTTCCTTTATTTCCCGTAACTCATCCATTAGGGTAACAGAGCGCATGACTAGTTGTCATCTCACCAGCGGATAATCCCACCTGAGTGGTGAAGCTCTGCAACTCCTCCAGGCTACCATGCTCTTCTTTTCACATGCGGAGCTTCACGGCTCTTTTTTTTTTTTTCGGGATTTTAACTTAAACCCTCCAACAAACCTCTCTGCGACTTCATCCTTGAAATGTTAGCTGTGTTTCTTTGTCTTCATGGCGCCATTTGTTCACAACTGCTCTCTGACAAAACAGCCACGTTTACACCAAAATGAAAATAGAGTCTTTGAGTCTACTGATAGCAACGCTTTGTTACATTTGAGGGTAACAGAAAAAAGAGGTTTGAATATAAATGCATGTTTTATTTCTACAGAAAACACTTTTCTTTTCTTCTACATAAGAATTGCAAACAAAAGTGCGTGTGCTTGCAACTTGACACAATGTGGAAAAGGTTGAAGGGGGATGAAAACTTTCGCAAGGCACTGTATACTATTCTCTGTGCCAGTCAGCCCATGTAAGGGTCCTGCTCTGCACCAAGGAAGAGAAGCTGGCTCAGTGTTTTGACACATCAACCTGAGGTTGCCATGGTTAGGACCCGCAGCTACTTTACACAGATTTCCCCCTCGGGGGCTCTGACAGGTCCCATAGATCACTTTGGGACAGCCTCTCCCTGAAGAGCAGCATTGTGCCTGTGCTGAGCGATAAAGGCCTGAGTGGCTGGAGGGTGTGAACTCCTCCCTTGTAAAAGCCTGCATAAGATTTTGTGCACCAAGACAGAAATCAGTGTAAAGATAGCATTAGCTCTGTTCACGTCTGATTAAAAGAAAAAAATAAATAAATACAACTTTAGCTTGCCAGAAATATATTAATCATTCAGGAGAAGTATATTAAAAAAAGAAATTACGTTTAAGCTGAATATGACCATAGGACCCTCAATATTGTGTTGTTTTGTTTAAGCCAAATAACCAAATAATGGAATTTAGTCTTGCCCGCAAATACTGGTAACACAAATATATTCAACTTTATAAGTAAAGGATTTGTATATTATGTGTGAAACTCAAACTATTTCCTAATTAGTTTTAATTTCAGAGTCTTATCTAACTTGGACATGCTGACTAACTGTTGATATCTACAGAGTAAGAATATCTTTAGCTTTTAATGGGTCAGTGATTTGCTGTTCAGAAATTAAAATTTGAGCATTTTCTACCACTGAATGTTTTTCTTTGCCACTTTGGTTAATGCGAGACGTCAACAAAAAAGTATCGAACTGCGAGAAGAAAAAGAAAACATAGGAAGTGTAACGATGAAGACATTTGGAAGATAAACCCACAGCTACTGAAGGCTCCCATCTATGTGAACATTTCACAAATCTGTAAGAACTGTGCTTTATTTGATACAAAGTAAAATTGAATTGGTGGAGACGTATTCAAAGTGTAAAGCATACCTTGGATGTGAGAGTCTCTTGAAACATTTTGCTGTAAAAACAGAAGACAAACCGTGTTAAAGTATATAAGAGAAAATAATGTTTTTACCATGCAAATAGAGAATTGTAAAAATGAATAGCCACATTTGGTCATTTTCGCCTTCACAGGTTTATAAACGGGAGAATATGTAATTATCTGTCTGTGTGCGTTTGTGAAGTAATCAAAAGATATTATTTGATCAAATCTGGTAATATTTAAAGAATCATCACAAAGCTAAAAAAAATAAGTCAAGAGGCAAAACATTACAGCTGGCACCGTTCTTGTTTTCTTAGGGTCAGTCTGCAAATTTAGCACCAATCCCATTGGTATATTAAAAAAGTAAAAAGCTTAAGGGACAATTTGTGATTGCAAGCATTAGGTGTATCAGCTTCTAATAACAGCCTCCAAAGAGTGCCAGCAAAATACTTTCCAAACCATTACACATCCACCAGTAACCTTAATTTGATTAATGTTCTCCAAATTCTGACCTCAATATTCAAATGTTGCCACTGACATAAAATACTCATTGTACCAAGCAACATTTTTCCAATTTGTTACTGTCTAATTTTGTGCAAATCATAGGCTCTAACACCTGTTTTTCACCAAAAAGGAGGAGGTGCTCTTCTTCTTCTGCAGCTCACTGGCTTTAGGGTTCAACAAGTTGTTGTTCATACTTCTGATATCCTTCGTATCTTGTTTGAAACAAGTGTTCATTGGATCTACTTTTGTCTTTCCATCACACTTCACCAGCCTGCCTCTGATGTTAAAGCATAGTCATTCTCACCACAGCAGGTGCTAAATGAATATTTTCTCTTTTCTGGGACATTCCCTGTAATTTGTGCTTAGCTTAAACTGAAGAAAGTTGCTTTCACTGCGCAATTTTGCTTTTATATTAAAAGCAATCATGTGGTGTGTTTATATTTTGTGTGTATGACAAGCCTCAAATCACCTTAACTCAACTGAAATGAGGTTCAAGTCATTCCAATTCAGCTAAACATTTTCCTCTACTCCAGTCAAAGAATAGCTTAGAGCAGTGTTTCCCAACTCTGGCCCTCAAGATACACTGCCCTGCATGTTTAGGTGCTTCCCTGGTTCAATACACCTGAATCCAATTGATGGCTAATTAATAGAGTTTTATTGAACTGCAATCATCTGAATCAGGTTGTGTTAAAGCAGGGAACCATCTAAAACAGTCAGGGTAGAGTGCTGTGGGATCCACAGTTGGGCACTGTTGGCTTAGAGATATTATTCCAACATGATGCTTAAAGCAAATGAGTCATTCCAGACTGTCTGAAAAATCTGTGACAAGGAATTTCAAACTTGTGAAAAATTGACTCAATGGAAAGAAAATAAACATTAAGATATAAAACATCAGAATCTCTACTTGTAAAACTACATGCACAAATAAGAGGAAGCAGAATATTATATTGCAATATTTCTGAAAGGCCATATATTTCATGTGTATAGCTGCCCAGGCCACATGAGTTTGTGTGTGTGTGTGGTCTCTTTTTGTGAGAGTCAATTTTAATGGACAAAGCTCTCACAAATAAACCCCATGAATTTTAGAAGGGGAAAAAAAAAAAAAAGATAAAACAAACACAAATAGAGCTCATGATTTCATAGAGTAATTACTTTCTCCCTGGGAAAGAAGTCAGTTTATTTGTGAAGGATAAAATGCAGTTTATCCGTCACAAAGTTTGGTTAATGTTTGATGTTAATTAAAATTCAACAAGCGCTGTGTCAAGGGTTAAGAGTCAGCCCGGTCACATGGAGGATCATTTGGAAGCATTAATATAAATGGGAAGCTGAGTTTCACAGCTCATAAAAACCTGCAAACTTTTTGGAATGCAGACACCTGCAGAATGCACACATGACTACCTGGAATATGACCCTAAGCAAAAAAAAAAAAAAAAAAACACTAAAAGTGTCATGATTGACTGAGTCAGGTGTGCAGATCCTTTCCACATGTTGCCTGCAGAAACATCTTAGTGTTGGTCCCACAAACATCTTGCTGTCATTCTAACAAGAAGTTATGAAGGATGAAGAGCTGAGTTGGCAAAAGAAAATTGAGATACTTGCACTAGGCAGTTGATTGCTGCTTCAGCTGTTTAAATGTTTGTAATGGTGCTTCTTCTTAGTAAATATCAAATTTGAATAAAAATGCTAAAATAAAACACATAGTGTTTCCCAGTTTCCCAGACTTTGTCATTGTTATAGCAAATCTCTGTATACAGTCCAATTTTACTTGGATTATTTATGTCACACTAGATATATAAGGTGGCTTGCTCCCTAGGAGGGACCACCCAGACACAGGGATTTGACACTTACAGAAATGTTATAGCAGCTAATCTAACAATAGTACATATTTGGAGAATAAGGATTAATTTACTCTCTTAAACAGCCAAGAAGATTAAAAAAACAACTGGCAATGGAGCAGATCACTTTTCCGTCCTCCATTGTCCACTGAAGCTTCCTCTGCTGGAAGATAATAAGACTAATTCAGCATTGATGACAAAAATACCATTTAAAACTTCAAGTATGCACACATTCTTGGCTGTCTCTGTTATTAATCGAAACACTTCAAATCAAACAAGGAGATAAGTCACTCTGAATCTAATGGTCCTTCGACGACCTGGAGGACATTTTCAATATAAATGAAAATGTCTTAAATGCACTTAAATAAGCTGCCGTAAAAGGAAAAAAATAAACAATAAAAGGCTGATGCAGCTGGAGTCTTAAATGGTCTTGAGTAAAAATGCAGAATGAGACTTTTAAAGTGTGGTACTCAAGATGGCTCTTGAGGCAAGCACCTGGCTGAGGTACCACACCACCAGCTATCTTTATATTCCCTTATCTTTTTTTAAGGAAAAGGTATTTCCTTAAAAAAATGAAAAGAAAAAAATCCAGGCTGCCTAGCTTAGTTGAAGATCAAATTTGTGGATAAGTCGACACAGGTGATGGTCTAATTGAAGCGTAATTATCTTACTATGTCATAGTAACACATGGCTGATATACGAGAGAGTTACAGGAGCAACACTAGAATTGCCTGCTGTTTCAGACATCTAAGCTTAGTGTTACTACCTGGAGACAGGCAGAGAGGTTTCATTGTAAAATTATTACTCTGCAAGTGATGGATTGCAGCTTAAAGATGAGTGTGACCTGTCGGTTGCAACATTTTTTTTTTTTTTTTTGCGAGTTCAACAAAATCTTTCAGTATTTAAACTATAGTTCTACATATTCTAAAAATGCAAAATTGACATAGAATGAACAAGAAGAAGTCAGTAAAATATCCCACACAGCACCATTCCTTCCAACCTGACGCCTGGAGCATCATTTGCTGCACCAGCTTCTCCACCATAAAACGCCAACGTTACATCAGCACTCCCACACGACGGCTTTGTTTCCCAGCAATCAGTCGCATTGAGTTGTTTTAGCAGCTGTCTGCCTTGTTATGACTGTAAGTTCTAACAGCATTAAGCAACCAATCAACTTCAATTACGCTCAGTGCATCCTCCTGTTTCTCACTGTCTGATGGTGTGCTGCGTTTTCTCTTTCACTTCTAACTGAGCAGCATCGTCCAAGCAGCCGGATCGAGGGGCATTTTTCTGTTCAACTGAATATTGCATGTCACAAGTCAAGAGCGATTTCAAGCAGATTTCCATTCCAGTCTATTTATATTACCCCTGACCGCCTCTTTGGAGCTGACAAGAAGACTGAAAATGTGAGGGACGGACCCTGCAGAGGAGGTGATGTGACACCGCTGCCTCAGACTGTCAGCGGTGCTGATAAGAAACGGGAGCCGAACAAAAACGCAGCGACAAGACAGATTATCTCTATGTGAGAGCAGAAATGGAGTCAGAATGAATTTGGGAATAATAGACAGCAGGGGCTGAACAAGGAAACTAAAAAAAAAAAAAAAAAAGAAAGTCAAGGGAGGAGGGGGGAAAGGAGGCAGCATTAATCTGACATGAGACTAACAAGGTCACAAACAACATTTTAAGGCGAAATAGCTAAGGGAGGTGGCCCTGGAGGGAGGAGTGGAGGAAAGGCACAGACCTCTTAGGGAAGGTGAACTTGACTGCATTCTGGATGAAGCCGTAGCAACAAGGACTGATGATGAAGGAGGCTCCCGCCTGGATGCAGTGCTCCAACACCATGTCTGTCGCAATCCCACACGCATGGAGGGCAACCTTCATTAGAGCAGACAAAGACAAAACCCAAACAGTGTAATTCAACTAAAAAAGTCAAATTTTTCTTATTGAAAACATTTTTTTTTTAAGAATATAAACTGAGAGCACGTATTATTGATCCCCACTGATTACTTCATAAAGGCTGCTGCACGTAAAACTCCAAACTTGCAGACATAGGGAGCTCCAGCAAACAAAAGCATTGATGCTTTCAGAGCAGAAGCACGAATGCATCAAGATTCCCATTGAGTGGGTAAACTGTGCGTGGTGATAAACACCTGCCCCTGCATTAGTAATGCTGAATGTTTCTTGTCTCTGTCTTCCAGCTATTTTTCCCCAGTTAAGAACATCTGCATACATACA